ACCCTTTCTCACGCTAAAAATTCCTATTTTAGGATGCAATCGAACTATTGTCACCCAAGATGTGCCATCTGGAAGATTCACAAGTCCAAACTTCCCGAATCCTTACGACCATAATTCGACATGCACAACTCGACTAGAGGCTCCAGCACATAAACGAATTCTGATAGTATTCCGGTAAGCGCATCCCAAACTTTATTCTGTACTGCGAAATTTGCAAAATTGAGTGTGTTCCAGAAGTTTCGACTTTGAACGAGGGCGTGTGAGCTTTTATCGCACAAACGGCTCACGGTTGGCGCTTTATAATTGGCGACGTCGAGTATTCATGAGATCTTGCGATTTCGACTTTTTGAAGGTACTCTAAATCTCACTTTCGGTTGCTTTTTTTGAAGAAAATGAAGTTCATTACATTTACAGATAAATGAACCAGGAAGGAACTCTACAGGGCCGATGTGTGGGCGAGGTCTCCCGTCCACGTACTTCTCCTGGGGTAACAGCGTTGAGGTAGGTGCCTATGCAAAATGGTGCCTCAGTTCAAAGTCGTTAATGTTTAGGTATTTATGCAAACTGATCACAATATGGCAACGGAAGGGTATGATCTGAATTACTTTACTGGCAAGATGCATGATGGTGGGGATTTTTTTTCGAAATTTGTGCTTGACCTGGTTCTATTTTGAAGAGTTCTTGTATCTTGATCAAATGTATGTAACTTACTTCATCCTTGATTTTGTCCTTCAGACGGTACTATTGATTTCGCACCTTCTTACGATCTGGAAGGAGCTATTACTAATATTGGTTATCCACGAGGGTACAATACCTCGACGAAATCTTCGTGAGTTATATTCTGGGTCTCAATTAGCACTTTAGAGATCTCGGTTCATTGTTTTACAGCAGCGGTTTCTCATTATTTCTAATGACTGCTAATAAGCTTTAAGAAATAACTTTCTAGTTGGACTCTAATGCCACCGAATGGGCATAGTTGCGTCGCGGAATTATTAGTTTTGGAGTTAGCTAAAGCACCTCAGGGCGTCGATTGCCTTAGCCAAGGTTA